CCTAAAATGATACTGCTAGCACATCCCCACTGCACTGGTGAGAACACTGTACAAATAGCAGCCCTTGTTACAGGTGAGTCGGGTAATGCCTCTTCTTTTCTCTTAAATGATACATAAATACGTTTATAAGAATCCTAGGAGAAGACTTCATGAAAATGCAGAGTTTTTCTTTAAATAAAAAGTTTCTTTTGGTTTATTTCTATTCCGTGGATGACAAGCTTCAAAACCACGGCCATCCCCAGTTAATCCTCACAGCTTCATCCCCACCAGATGCAGAGACACAAAGCCTGTCTCTGCCAATGGCTACTGAGGAAGTTATCATCACCTACTAATCCTGAAGGATCTGAATACAATTACATTTTAATCTGAGGGTTTAGAAAGTGAATATAAATGAAAGGCACAGCTTCATTTGTATCCAGCATTCCAGAAGCACAATTTTAAATTTCATTTTGAATTTGGGGGCCCTGCATAACACAGCTATCATCTATTTGCCAAGGCCTGCTCCTGGCCTGGCATAGCAACCACAGGTATGGTCCAATCAGCAAAGCCTGCAGAGGCTATGCAACTGCTCTGCATCAGAACGTGCATTCAGTAGTGTCATCATGCCTAAAGCTGCATCAGCCTCTCAACCAGCTCATCAATCCAGCAGCTACTACTTGGATAATAAGAAATGACCCAGAAAACCTGCCATTCACAACAAAGAAATAATAATAATAATAGATCAGAAAATGGTAGATATGCTAATTGCCTTGATTTAATCAATAGACTGAGTATACACATACTAAGGACCACACTGTAAACTGCACTGTAATTGTTAATGGATTATTGATCAGTTAAAATTAAAATTAGGGTGTTTGGATATAATTTAACTGGTAGGTGCTTCTCTTACGTACATGAAACCCCTGGATTGATCCCCCCCGCCCAAGTAACAAAATATAAATAAATAAATAAATAAATAAATAAATAAATAAATAATAAAGTTTAGACTTAGAAAATATAACATTAGCAGGGACTAGGGCTATGCTTCCCTGGGTAAACTGTTTGTTGTACAAGCATGATGATGTGAGTTCAGACACCCAGCTTGGTGTGGCCACAAGTCGTCTGTAAACTTAACTGTCAGGGGGTGGGGGGGGGGAGAAGAGGGTGGTCTGGAAGCAGGAAGATCCTCAGAGCTCACTGCCAAGCCAGGCTAGTAGAAATGGTATACTGCAGGTTCAGTTAAGAGACTATGTCTCAAAAATAAAGTGGAGAGCAATTGAGGAGGCAATCTCTCTGGTCTTGGTGAGTTGGCATGTCCAGACGCACACACACACAACACACACACATACATACATACATATATACATACACACACACATACACACAACACACATACATACATACATACATACATACACACAACAAACATACATACACACACATACACACTCAACACACATACATACACACCACACACACATACATACACACACATACACACAACACACATACATACACACACATACATACATACATACAACATACATACTTACACACACATACACACACACAACACACATACATACACATACAGAGAGAGAGAGAGAGAGAGAGAGAGAGAGAGAGAGAGAGAAAGAGAGCCCATGCCTGCATGCCTGCTCCAAAATACTATCACAGTTAATTTTCATGACTTTCATTAGTATTTAAGAACGTGCTTTTCACACTGAAATTGTCAGCAGTTCTTGATGAGTATAGCCCCAAAGTGCCTGAAAACAATGTGGGAATCTGAAGGAATTTGAAATTCCTTTGGATTCTTTATTTCTGAACTCCAAAGTAAGCTGTATTTGTTATAGTCATAGAGGCTTTGCAATCCTCATCCCCGTACCAAAAAAAAAAAAAAAAAAAAAAAAATCTGGGTGACTCCCCACACCAGGGTCTTATGCAGTTGTGAGTACAAAACACGTGTCCATTGTTAAGGAACTGCACTGAGCCCGTTGTCAACCTGATATAATTTAGGCATGCAGCTTCCTATGCACTGAGGACAGCAACTACTTCTACAAGACCCTTTTCTTCAAAACTGTACCTCAAAATCTTTCAAAACTTTTATTTTAGTGATATTATTGGGCCCTCCAGCTAATCCAAAACAACACAATATAAACTGTTTGAGTTATCAATGAGGAAACAGACTGATAGATAGCTGAACCTGTCTCTTACATGACAACATAACAGTCTAAAAAAAAATGGAGTTTGCTTGCAAGATGAGAGGAAGAAAGGAGCTTGGCTTTTATCATTTCCATGTGGACAACTACAGATTATTACTTTCTTTGATTCTTTCAACCTCAAAGCTTGTTATAAAATGCCTCCGAGGATTCCTATTGCCAAAAATGAATCCTAAGTGTTTCCTGAGTATGGAGGCCTTTAATTTCAAACTGCAAGATGGTAGGAGAGTCTACAGGGAGGTCACAGCACGAGCTGGCGAAAGATTTAGTAAGAATTGGAAAGTCCAGCATGGCAAGACGTGAAGGAATTAGTCAAATTCCCAGGTCGGACTCATCGGGGAAGCAGAAAGGGTCTTAAAGGAAGAAGCAAAGCCTCCATAATTTTTCCGTCAGTGCCTTCCCCCAAATTAGATCTACTAGCAAGTGTCCTGCAGCTTTGGGATGCCCGTTTGAAAAGTACAGCGATTGGATATCATCGAAAAGTAAAGCAATTGGATATCATCCCTTTAAAATATCATTCAATTAGATCTTTTGTAATACATACGACGTAAGGAGATAGCCTTACTGATTCTAAAGAAATTGCTAGTGCATTTCATCAAAGGCACAATAATGGAAACATCGATTCCCTCTTCACCACAAACATCTCCCTTTGATGCTGCAGTTACCTTAATGCTCGCACTTTTCATTTTCTCTAGAAGAAAACAGCTGCCTCCGTGCATACACATCAGAAAGAGCTCTAGCCAGAAATAACACATTTGTATATCAATCTCGGCTACACTGGCATCTTCATTTGCTGCTACATAGCATCACTCTTCCTGACTCTGTGCCACTAACTTACCATCTAAAATAAAGAATCCCTAGCATCCTGGATAGTCGGGGAGAGGTGTTTTATGCCACCCCTGCAAACATTGCCAGGGGCTTCATCTCTCTCCCGATGCCATTTGTTCCAAGGAAGAATGGCCACATACTAGTTAGAAACTGTAGGTCTGAAGAATAGTCAGCCACTTTCAGCAGAACATGTCAACAAGAAGGAGTACCTAAGGAATAATAGATCTGGAAATGTGCAGTGTGATTAGGAAAATCCATCAACACCCACTGCCACGTTCCAAATATTTATTCTAAGTGAAAAAAAAAATCATCAAGCCTGAGAGGATTTTGGAGGCATTATATCCACAAGGATACCCCAAGAGTAATGTCCCTGAAACTCTTGGTGCTGTGAAAATGGAGGAAAGGAATACACGGGATACCATGAGATACACCACATTTGCTTTATTGACCTCATGCCATGAGGGGTCTGCTGCCTCTAACCTAGCTTGCCACTGTTAAAATACACTTTAGGTGCTTTGGGCTTCCTCTAAATGAATTATCACAAACCACTTAACAACATCCAAGTAATTTATTTTTCTTTCAATACAGGTTCAAATTTTTTGGCTACACTAAGCATCTAAACTCACAGACTGTCTGACATTTGGCTAAGTCTTTCATACAATATCCACTTGATGCTATGAAAGAAATGTATTTGCAATGGCTTTTGCTCTTCAAATGTCATGTGGCTGTCCTTAGGGGATTGTCTTAAGCACCTGGCGCCCACCATGAGGTTCTGCTAACCAGGGATATAAAAGTTATGTTGAAATTATTGTTTAAAGGTGATGACATATCACACACACACACACACACACACACACACACACACACAATCACATAGGTACTCAGGGTACTGTTTTAGGTTATGAGAAAGTAGAGAGAAGAAACCATTTCAGTTAAGCTATTCTGTGAATATCAATGTGCAATATGGTTCTTGAAATTATCTTTGAATGACCAATCCCATAACTTTATTGTATAGTAGCTTGGCGTATGAACTAAGGTCTGGGGGGGGGACAGGAAATATAATAAAGAATAGTCTAGTCTCTGTTTTGAAATATAAGTTGAACAATCACGATAAGTTCCGTCTTTCAGCATTTAAATAGTTATTCGACTATCCATTCACCTACAGAAATTCATCAATAAGGCAGAATGGTAGATCCAACAGGGTGGATTAGGAAAAAGATACTACTGATGATATAGCCCAGCCTCTTATGTTGCAGCTAAATTAGAGAATACTAGATTGCTAGCAATAGTGGGTAAAGATAGGTAGTTCTTTTTCAGGTATGCTAAAGGTTCTGCAGTACATAGGAGACATCAAGTACACTGCAAAACACATGGATGTTAACGCTCAAAGAGAAAGTCTTCGGAGAGGGGCTTCTACACCTTTAACCTACTTTTAGAAACAACAGAAGAGACTTGTTTAAAGCTTCCCTTGCACTCCTAGAGAGCAACGGTATACTAAAATTTCACCAAATCAAGACAGCAGAGTATGATGAAACACATCTTAGATATAGACCTTGGCGATATCCATTCAAACGCTAGCTCTCCTATCTACAATATCGGAGAGTATGGATAGGAACCCCAGCTCTCTGCATCTTTGGTTATGCTTGTCACTATAAAACTGTCACAATCACTTGCCTCCTACTTACCTTACAGGAGATTATAAAAGAAAGTGAAATGATTAAATTTTAGACTAAGTCATTATAAGACTATGAAATGAAAACTAAATATTGTCAATACAATGAACACACACACACACACATGAACACCTGCCTCTGTATATTTTGATAATTAAGAGTAACAAAGTGAAGTTCATTGCCAAAGATCAAACCAACACGGTTGGAATAATGAAATATCACCAATACTCATCAAAATCTGAGCTGAGCAAACAAGCATTTTTTCTCAACGTGACAACTTGCAAGCACAGTGTTTGTTCACCTTTTGGTCCAAGCTGTAGGCCAGCACCCAGTCCTCTTGCTTGGGATGGAAGAGCAGGCTCTGGATGTAGAATGTGAGCCGATACTTCTGGTAAGTTGCCCCTTCATCTGAGCTGATCAGTATACTGCTCTCCATTTCAGGATCACTCAGAAGCATGATCTAATGAGAATGTAGAGGAGAAAATAAAGATAGAATTAGTAGGCTGGAATGAACATAAATAATAAATGCTGCTTTATTTATCCCATGATTTTCTAAGCAGAAGTAAGGTCTAGATCTACATAGAAAAGGGCATTTCATTTATTATTATTATCATCATCATCATCATCATCATTATCATCATCATCATCTTTGAAGTGATGAATGTATATAAGGTGGCCCTCCATCCTTTGACACCAGTTCAGACTCATTTTTTTTCAGATATGGAAAAGACCCTTCCTTCCCAAGACTTTATGATTTCTTCTGCTCATTCTTAGCTATGATTTAAGTGACTTAAGAGTTTTAATGATACCTTAGCTAGAGAAATTTCCCAAAACACATATTTACAGAGGTCCTTTAGAAAATACGGCTGCCCTAGGTTTGACTACCAATCTGAGTGGCAGATGCAGGATTATCAAGTCTTCGGCATCCTAAAGGGCAGGTTGTCATGCCAACAGTTTCATACAAGCTATGGCATCATAGGAAAGCACTTAAACTGTGGAAGCCTCGGTTTGTTCAGTATGAAGTTCAATGCTATCCAAAGTGCCTTTAAACACGTGGCATGAGCTATGTTCTTGGTAAGGCGTTACCAGAACTACTACTTAAAACTCTGCCCATTGTACTCGAGCTCCTTCACACAGTGCTTTAGTGGAATTAACTCTACTAAGAAATGATTGCCTTTCTGTTTCTTAAACCCATTGGACAGATACCTACAGAGTTTAGTATTGGTAACTTTTTCTATCCTTTCTAAAGAAATCTCTTTCTAGCTGCTTCTAGAACACCAATCTCATCCAGTTTTTCCTTCTTATCTTTTGGATGCTAGACTTTGCCCGGGTTTTTATTGTTGTTGTTTTGTTTTATTTGTTTTGTTTCCTTTGAACACAACTGTGATCATCTATTGGCCTTTCACTTTGACCCTCTCTCCTCCCAGTAACTACTTTAATTCTGTCTCTCTTCTTCTGTTTTCAGCCACCATCTTCCATCCTCCTGAGGATGCTCCACTTTTATCCCTTCCCAACTTTCAATATAAACACGCCTTTTCTCAAATATTTGCTTTGGCCTCATTGAAATAAGCCATCATTAGTTATCAGCAATTTTTCAAGTAAAAATGGATGCAGCTCGGTAACTTTTTTTTATCCCTGTGTAAAAATCCAGGGCAAAGTTCTTGTATGGACTAGCAGATACACAATAGCCTTTTCCTGGGAACTCGAAAGGGAGAGAGGACCCTGGGAGAAGCACCGGGCTGTCTTAAGAAGATGTTTGGGGAGTTTCTGCAGAGCTTAGAGAGGTTGAGATCATAGGTAACAGGGTCAGAGGGACAACTTCATAACTAGCCTCATTATACCACACTATACATTTAACCAATGAGTGAACTGTGGAGTATGCAAGGAAATAAATTTCCCTCTTTCGGAGAAAACTGCTTCTTCTATGCATGAAGAAGAAGCTTCTCGACTATGATTTTAATTAGAAGATAAGGCCACCATCCTAAATAGACTTTATTTTATACCTCACGAGTCATAAAATTCTGCATAAAGTGTGCCATCAAGTATTTTACACAATGGATTCGCTTCCTTTAGCTCTGTCTCTTTCTGTGTGTGTTTATGCTTGCATACATAAGCATGTGATATGTATTCATACACATGCATACCACATGGAATTGTACACACCTGGACTAGCACTTGCACAGATCCTGCACACACGTATGTGCACCCATACCGAAGTGAACTTATGTCAAGGGGAGAGTGAGTCATTTAGAAATGAACGTATGTATAATAAGGGCTGTTGACAGTGTGTAGTCGTTCTATGGAGCTCCTGTTTAACAGTGTACATTTTTATTGCAACCTTTCTCTGACATTCTCTTCAGGAAACATTTTATACACTTGGATATCAGCATCCATCTCTCTCTCTCTCTCTCTCTCTCTCTCTCTCTCTCTCTCTCTCTCTCTCTCTTGTCTCAGAAGTCTCAATCCTGCTTTCTGAGAAAAACGAGAGGAAAGAGAAATACAAACCGACATTTTAAACCAATGTTCGTTCATACCTCGCCTGTTATTTTATCCAAACCTCATATAAATCCCATGAAGGAAAGTATGGCTTTTTTTGCATTTTACAGATAAGGAGACTGAAGCTCAGAAGGAAAGTGATTTCCTCATTACTCCCCAAAACCATTGTAATCCTGCCAGCTACACAGAACATTCACACAGAGTCGGGCTTTCCTAAATCACGTCTAAGAAATTCACTGAAGAAATAAAAGTAGCTTCAAGAAACCCCTTAGCTCTTAAAACTCACTTCTTCCCTCTGACCTGGAGAACATGAACTCAATCAGTAAGAATCAAAGGAGAAAGTACACGGTTATATGTTAGCACTGGAAAAAAATCAGAACATAATATTAATATATGTAAGAGAGAAAATGCTGTGTCCCAAGTTAAGCCTCAAGGTAAAGTATGTCTTATACATGATAATGCCACATATATACAGAAAATAATCTCATGCCATAAAGATTTTATTGTTAAGGGAAGATTTGTATCCAAAGTTCTGTGGGCTTAAAGCAAGTAGACGGGGCAGCTGAGAGGGGCAAGAAGTGGGAAGGATCCTGTCAGAGTGGAAAGTATGCATATTCCTCAAAGAATTTTTATCAGCATTCCAATTAAATAGACCTGTTGACTATGCATTTATGGACTAGCCATGAGATTCTTGGTAGAGCTAAGATTGTCTCTGCAGAAACAAAGAAGGCTAATCTTTGCCTTTCATCTTATAGCTGTTTGTGTGCAGGTCCACAAGCTGTGGTGGGGGCTTTGGAGATGTTTATGTATTCTGTGCTTGTATGATTTGGACAATGTGAAAGGGGCAGGAATCTCAATGAAGGCTGGAGGATCAGGAGTTCAAGGTCATTCACAATTATGGAGTAACAGAGGCCAGCTTGGGCCACATGAGACCCTGTCTATAAACAAAAACAAAACAAAAAGATGTCCACTGGATGTTGGAGAAAGGGAGGAGGTATTTCAAATCTAGGTTAGCAAACTATTAATGGGATAGATTCTATGTGCAAGTATCTCAAATGCAAATGCTCAGTTTTGCTATCTCACATGTCAACATGAGGAAGTTACTCAATATTTCCAGTTTTGTCGTCTCCAGGAGGAGAACATCAAATGTATACCCTGGAGCTTAGCACAGTGCAAGGTACACAGCCACTATTTATACAACATCCTGATGTCTAAATCAGTCACGGGAACTGTACAACTGAGGCCAGAAGGGAGGAAGAGGAGACTGGATGTGACAGAAGTGATCTGAGGCAGTAGCTCTGTGAGGACACAAACAAAAAGGGAGAAGAGAGAGAAACTAGGATGTTGCCATCCAGTGTACCAAACTTTCTAGAGCCACAAGATGGAAACAGCTAGAGATGTGCACAACCGTAGGGTGTATATATTAACAATACTGTACTGTGCACTTGGACATTTAACGTATATCTTTCTGTTTTTCTCTGTGCACGTGACTGTGTTCATCATAACTAAGAAATAAAGAAGGATCATGGAGAGAACCAGTACCTATTCGATTTGACATCAATTTATGTGCATTTTGCAAGCCTGGTAATAACTGAAAACACTATTAGCAAATAGCAACACTGCTTCTGCTATGAATGAAAACCAGCCAGTAGGTAATTGTGGATTTGCTCAATAAAACTGTTGCTTTAAAAGACCACACTCACCTCATCCCTGTGGGGAGATCCAGACCCATGGTGGCACTAAATATACAAGTAGCTTGGATACTAGTCTTAGGCATCCAGTCTCCACGGACTGGACCATCCACTGTAATGAACTGTCTTGCCTTCAGATGAGTAACATTAAGCTCTAGCGTTCACAAATACATTCATACCTTTCACGCTTTGATTATAACATGTTTCACATGAAAACCCTGAGAAATCTGAATTACAATGGCCTCATTTAATAATGCATCCCGGAATGTAAAAGATACAGGTGGAAGTCAGAAGTCGAGCTCCTGGCTGACCCTCATGACATCATCAACAGACGTCACTTTATTCAATCACACAGTCTGTGTTTCTTTTTTATAAAACCTGTGGGAAGTACTAAAGGCTAAGCATTTCTCTGTCTCTCATTCTGTCCTGACATCCCCCAAATCAACGAAACAAACGCTTCAGTGTTCTGAAAAGAGTTTCATAAGCAGACCACTCTATGAATAGAAAAACAGGGATGCTATAATTTACTCTGTAATTGACTCCTAATGATAGATCATGAGTGCATTTATGATCAATAAGAAAAGCAATAGCATCAATAGACTTGCCAAGAGTGTAAGAGAGTTGGGAGCATACCTGACCTCAAACACACTGACGTCATTGATATATTGCTGAGGATAAATTTCCACTCAATCAGCACCTAAGCCAATACTACCCTTCTCTGTCCCCTCTCTTGCTCAGCATTCAATGGTAGTTCTCAATACAGGAATAAGGAGAACAGAAAGTGTGGATATTTCAATACCCACAGCTGGGGTCAAAGAAGTTCCTGAGATCTGCATAGTAGAGATGAGGTATGTTGCTAAGCATGTAACAATGCACTTACAATAAAGATTAAACAGCACGAAACCTCAATCATGGAATGTTTGTAGCGCCACTGTTGAGGAACTGTGTTGAGCATTGTAAATGCGTGTGTTTAGGTACTATTATGACTACAATATGCAAACAACAAGTAGGTTTTAAAGATAGAACATCAACATATACTTACGCTTACACATATGCTCTTTTACCTGGTACCACAACGCCATTATGCGTGTTGTTTTATTTGCCAAGATTACAACTGACAACTTTCTATCCCAACATAGTATAAGTGTATTAAGCCTAATTTCTATCTCCACTTGTCCTATAGGATTTAACACAAGCCTCACTTAACAAAGCATCAACCACTAAAGCAAGTCAAGGAAAACATAAAGAGATAGCTGAGTAGCAGAGCATTTGT